GCGTGTGTGTGTGCGTGTGTGTGTGTGTGTCACTGTGTGTGCGTGTGTGCATATTGTATGGTCGGTGGGAACATCAGCCCTCTGTGGTGGGTGAGGGGGAGGAGTGGGGCCCCTCTTCTATCATGTTCCCACGGTGCGTTGGGGGGAGCAGGCATCCTCTGTACTTGGAACCTCACTGACAGCCGAAAACATCCCCGGCCGCCAACGAACAATACGAAAATAGAGCGTCAAAAAACAATAGAGCGTCACTCACCAGAGGAGCTGAAGCTGTCGTTCGACGACTGCGAGAGGGAGCGGTTGCGGTATCGCGGTCCGCGCTTGGTCCCTGTAACCTTGGAATCCTGCAAGAGACGGAAGAAATAGCGGGAACTAGTACGGAGGCCAGACGATCGAGCGCGCGCTGCAGGGGGAGCCACTGTATGTCTCTCGTGTGTTGCGTGTTCACTAGTGGGTGGTGTAGCAATTGAGAAGATACCGAGCAACTGAGATACTGAGATACTGTAGCAATTGTGAAGATACTGCCAGTTTTGCGGACCGTAACAGCAAAATACCGATTAAACAGACAACAAAGTCCTTTTTTTCCCTTTAAACTTTTCACCCTCGAAAAAAATTCGAGTCTCTGACATTTTCCGGCAGCAGAAAAATGCTTGCCCAGAAAAATGGATATGTATGTGTTTAACAGTGACTTCTTGTGTCGGGGCGGCTTTCTGGTGAGAATATGAGAGAGAGAGAGATAGATAGATAGATAGATAGATAGAGAGATAGAGAGAGAGATACCAAAAAATAAATTCTTAAATCTAAGACGTTTTGCAATTTCTTAAGAAAAAGACGAAAAAACTCACAACAAACATGCAAACTGCGACACATGTGACATTTCCTCCTCACCCCGACACCCGGTGACATAGTAGTGACACCAACGTTTACTACGGCTGCGGCTAGCAACGCTTCCGTCCGCTCCTTCGCCGGAAACCACAAATCAGCTTACCGACAGACGTAGGCGACTGTGCATCAGTAACACCGAGCTGCTAAATTAGGCAATATGCGAGTGGGCGGTGATAAAGGAAGAATGCATAGCTCTAGGACTCTATGATACGATGCTACAATATAATGAAAGCGATCACAATATTGGAGTGGGTTGTGATAGAGGAAGGATGCATAGCTCTAGATATGATGTTACAATATGATGAAAGCGATCACAATATTGGAGTGGG